GTTCTTAAAAGAGAATTTTTTTTTCTATTTCTATGAAGAATGCCATCAATGGTTTGATTGGAATCACATAGAATTTATAAATTTAGGTGGAATTGATACTTGTATTATATTGATTCCACAACCCAAGAACAAGGCCTGTCTTTTTGTATTGTATTCAATTTCTTATCTCAGTTTTATTTATAGTTTTCCTTGTAGAGGTGTTTTACGTCTTTGGTTAGGTTTTTTCCCTATGTTTTTGTTTGTTTTGTAGTTATTGTAAATGGGATTGCTTTCTTTAATTCTACCTCAATCTGTTCATTGTTGGTATGAAAACACTAGTTATTGTACAATGGTTTTGTATCTTACCACTTGACTGAATTCACTTATCACTTCTACTAGCTTTTCCATGGATTCTTTTGGATTTTTTTAAGAGGTTTTTTGCTATAGGGCGTGTACACCCACCAGAAAGAGAGACAGACAGACAGAAAGCCAGAAATCACCCCCCAGGGGGCAGGGCTACATCGAAACCCCTTCTCTTCCATTCTCCTCTCAGGATCTTGGGCATGAATGCACACGCACCCGGTGTGAGTTTAAGCCACTAGTTCTGGGACTCAAACCGCTATCGGCTACATGGGAGTCCAGCAACATGGCCATTACACTAACTTCTGGTCCCAATTCTTTTGGATTTTGTAGGTACACATAATCATGTCATCTGTAAATAGGGACAGTTTCATTTCTTTCTTTCCTATTTGAGTGTTTTTTTTTTCTTTCCCTCTCCTGTCTGATAGCACTGGCTAGGATTTCCAGTACTATGTTGAAAAGTAGTAGAAGTAGATAATCTTGTCTTCTTCTAGGTTTTAGTGGGAAAGCTTTCAGCTTTTTCCCATTCCAGTATGATGGGTTTGTCATACATGGCTTTAAATATGTTGAGGAATGTCCCTTCAATGTCTATTTTGTTGAGAGTCTTAACTATGAAAGGATTGAATTTTATAGAAGACTTTTTCCATACCAATTCATATAATCATATGGTTTTTATATTTCTCTTTTTCAATGTGATCTATTAAATGTATTATTTTGCATATGTTGAACAATCCTTGCATCCCTATTTGGATGCAAGAATAAAGCCTACTTGGTCATGGTGTAAACTTCTTTTTTCTTTTCCTTTTTTTTTTTTTTTTAGGTTTTTATAATAGGTTGCCTACTCTCACTGGAGAGAGAGAGAAAAGGAAAGTGAAAAATCACCTCCCAGCAACCATGCCACAATCCCTTCTCCAATCTGCTCTCAGGATTTTGGACACACACGCACACAAATCTGACGTGACTTTCAAATCACCAGGTCTGGTACTTAAAGTGACAGGATTTTGGACACACACGCACACAAATCTGGCGTGACTTTCAAATCACCAGGTCTGGGACTTAAAGTGAAGTTGGCCATGTGGTAGTCCAGTATCTTGACCACTACACCACCTGCTCGTCCCAGGGTACAATCGTTTTGACGTGTTGTTGGATTATATTTTGAACTATTCTTGTGAGGATTTTCACATCTGTATTCATTAGGGATATTGGTCTGTAGTTTACTTTTTTATTATGTTTTTGACTACTTTTGGTATCAAGATGATGGAAGCTTCAGATAATGAGTTTGGGAGGGTTCCTTCCACTTGGATCTTATGAAATAGTTTGAGAAGAGTTGGGCTTAGTTTTTCTTTCTTTCTTTCTTTTTTTTTTTTTTTTTTTTTTTTTGAGAGGTTTTTGCTATAGGGCACATGCGCTCGCCAGACAGAGAGAGAGACAGAGAGACAGAAAGCGAGAAATCACCCCCCAGGGGGATGACCATGCCACAATCCCTTCTCCTCCATTCTCCTCTCAGGATCTTGGGCACACACGCACATGCGCCCGGCGTGAGTTTTAAGCCACTGGGTCTGGGTCGTGAACCGCGGTCGACTACATGGGAGTCCAGCGACATAGCCATTACGCTAACTGCGGGTCCCAGGCTTAGTTTTTCTTTAAAAGTTTTACATAATTCAAAAGGGAAGCCATTGAGACCTGGGCTTTTCCTTTTTGGGAGACTATTATTGATTTAATCTCACTGTTTGTTATTGGTCTATTCAGGCTTTTTGTTTCTTCCTGGTTCAATATTAGAATATTGTATGTGTCCAGAAATGTGTTTACTTTCTCTAGATTTTCTAGTTTTTTGGCATATAGTTTTCTGTAGTATTATCTCAGGATCTTTTGTATTTTTCTGATATCTCTTTTAACATTTCCTGTTTTATTACTGATTTTATTATCTAGTTCCTTTCTCTGCTTTTTTGGTTGGTATAGCTAATGATTTGCTGGTTTTGTTTATCCTCTCAAAAAAACAACTTTTTTTTGCATTTTTTTTATTGTTAGTATGCTTCAGATAAGGAACAGATGACCAGAATATGCAGGCAACTCAGGCAGCTCACCTGAAGAAAAAACAATAATTGAATTAAACAATGGGCAAATGAGCTAAACAGACAACTCTTCCCCAGGGGGGATGGTCACGCCGCAATCCCTTCTCCTCCATTCTCCTCTCGGGATCTTGGGCACGCACGCACACGCGCCCGACGTGAGTTTTAAGCCACCGGGTCCGGGACACGAACCGCGGTCGACTACGTGGGAGTCCAGCGACATAGCCATTACGCTAACTGCTGGTTCCCTAAACAGACAACTCTTAAAGGAAGACACATGAATGGCCAAAAAGTAAATGAAAAACTGTTCAGTGTCTCTTATCACATGGAAAATGCAAATCAAAACTATAATGAGATATCACTTAATCCTATAATGGGGTTAGTCAGAATGGCTATAATAAAAAAAAAATTGAATGATAAGTGCTGGCAAGGCTGTAGTAAAAAGAGAACCGTTCTGCACCGCTGGTGGGAATATAAATTAGGATAGCCATTGTGGAAAACAACATGGAGGTTCCTCAAAACTTTACCAATAGAACTACCATATGGTCCAGTAATCCCACTCCTTGTTATTTACCCAAAGAACAGGAAAACAGTCAGACATCTGCACATCCACATGTTTACTGCAGAATTATTCACGATTGGTAAGACATGGAATTAACCTAAGTACCCAACAACTGACAAATGGATTTTAAAAATGTAGCACATATATTCTATGAGATATTACTCAGCCATAAAGAACTGCAAGACTCTTGTCGTTCAATAAAAAGTAGATGAATCTAAAAGATTTAATGCTTAGCGAAATAAGCCAGACTGAAAGACAAACACAAAATACACCCACTCAATATATACCATATGTCTGCACTATATAACAGAAATTGCAAGATTCAAAGACCTACGAGTAGTGAGGACAAGTGTAGCACCAAGACTGTATGGGAATGGGGTGAGGGACAGGGAATGGGTAGGAGGGGCTCAGCAAAAAAGTATTTAATAGATTCAAGAATGTGAGGTTCTTTGTTTAAAACGATGTGTATGATAATGTCCTTGCTTTGATTATCACACACTGTATGCATTCTTTGAAAAACAGTATTGTATGTTATAAAATGTACAATTAAATGTTAATAAGGAAATACAAAATTAAATTTAAAAAAATTCCTACTGTTATAAGGTCTGAAATTGTACAATACTTGTAGAATTCAAGTTGTCATATTGTTTATTCTTAATACTCTGGAAAATTAAAGTATAAGTAAAAACATTCCATATTTCATATTCGACCCCAAAAAAAGACAGAACTATAAATAGGTACAGGTATGCCTCACTTTAAGAAATCTCAACTTTCCAGAAACAGGGGGAAATGCATGAATCATATTTTCATTACAAAAAGGATTCACTAATCTTCCTTGATACATTTAAGAGAACATTATATGCCAAGATTTAATTCATATGTAATCTTTCTAGAATAAAATGATTGAAAAATTAGCTTCATGAATGTCATTGAAACCAGTGTCATTGATTAAACCCTAAAGGAAGAAAGAACAATTGAAGAAATTCCCATGAGAGTTACACTTATGATTTCATTCTCAAGGACAGTCATCTTGTTAATTTTTGTTCAAAATATTAATTGAATATCTACATTCAAGTAAAAAAGTTTTGTTTTCATAAGTATGTTTAAATGCTATAAGGTCTTTTTTTTTTTTTTTTTTTTGGAGAGGTTTTTGCTATAGGGCTCATGCACTCACCAGAAAGACAGAGAGAGACAGAAAGCGAGAAATCATCCTCTGGAGGGATGACCACCTTGCAATTCCTTCTGCTCCACTCTCCTCTTGGGATCTTGGGCACACACACACACATGTGCCCAGCATGAGTTTAAGCTACCGGGTCCGGGACTCGAACCACGGTCGACTACATGGGAGTCCAGCAACATGGCCATTATACCAACTGCTGGTCCTTAAATGCTATAGGTCTTACATTCATTGATACTGGATTCAAAACTTTCCAATATCTAAGTTATAAGGTTAAGTTACTATCTTTTAAGAATGATATGAGTAGATATTAAAATAAATACTAATTTATGAATGTGGCAATTTTTCTTTCTTATTATTAGCATTATTTATAGATCAATTTTTAGCTGATGAATTTTTATTGTTGTCAAAATATTGTCAACATCAATTACTTCTGTTCATATCAATGACTTCTTCCTGATTTAAAAACCCTTTACCACAATTATATCAAATGATTTACCATCTTTTAAATAAAGGTACCTCAACATTTCTTGTTAGTCTTAGATTTCTGTTCTGAATTAAAACTCTATATTGAACTTACCTGTCATCATACCAAACATTTCAATAAATATTCAAAAATACAATGGAAGGAATACTTATTGTACTATGTAAATGAGAATAAATAAAATTCCATGTAAATATATATATATATATATATATATATATATATATAATCTTCTCAGGTTCAATGCTCAGTTATAATAGTGCCACTTTTATTGGGCATATAAATTTACTAGTAAAAAGTATGTAGATGAGTTATTTCAAATTCAGGGGATCTTATAAAAGGAAAAAAGAAGTGCTATTTGTTACCAACCTGGGCAGAGAAACCACAGAAGAAACCAAACCAGAAATGCACAAGTGTAAATGCAAAATTCTTGTAGAAGAAATAGCATAAGAATTTACACATTCGGAAATAGGACCATCTTCCATGAACAAGGAGAAGCCTTTGGAGATATCTAAACTGTGCAAAAGAATAGTCACTGGCTAAGACTGCTTGTAGTCCTTCCTGGCCACTGATGCCAACACCAATGTGTGCACCTATAAACGAAAGAAGGGACACTTTCATTGCTGAAATACAGACACACTCTCTTATAGGTTTATCCCCCCTTATGTAATTTATTTATGAAAATCTTACAGTTATAGCAATTGTAACTCACATGTAGTATTTCATGAAATACTCATGATAGTTAAATATTTATCCTAGTTTTACAAAAGAGGAAATTGGGCTCAGAAAAGTTCAGTAACTTGTACAAGGTTTTACAATTTTTAAGTGACAAAGCAGAAGTGAAACCCAAATGTTGTGAATCGAGCATGGGGTTGTGAACTCGTGTTGTGGGTCAAGCATTATTTCCTCTACATCATAGCTACCTATTTCCCCAAACAGGATAAAGTGATCAATGTCCTTTTCTAGCCTAAAAATATTCAAGGATTTAAAGACAAAGAGATTTTGTTATGAGTTCTAATTATGGTAGAAGCACTGGACCCAGAAAGTATTCATTTTAGAGCCACTGGAAAAATTAAATTTTAATGCAACCTCTATTACAGAAAGGAGTTTTCAAAAAGTTCATGAAAAATACTATGCAGAGATTTCAAAAAAAAAATGTTTGCCCCAAAATAAACTCATACTTTAATTCTACTTTTCCATGAACATTTTGAAGTCCCTTGTATTGACAAATGCTAAAACTGAAAACCCCATGTATGCAGCATGCCCCACATGTGAATATTCTCTTACTTTTGATCATGCTGACATCATTGGCTCCATCACCAATGGCCAAAGTGACAGCATTTCTGTGCTTCTTTACCAGCTCTACCACTTGGGCTTTCTGGAGTGGGGTGACTCTGCAGCATACCACAGTCTTACACATGCAGGCAAGTTCTAGAAGATCATTCTTGACATCACCTTCTAGGGCATAGGCCTGAGTTGTTTTTTGTTTGTTTTCAGGAAGGAATAGGAAACAAAAACTGAGAGTTATACTTTGGGAAGCAAATGTCTTATTTTTCAACTAATTTCTTTTCTAAACCATTTCATTCACTTTAACAAGCCATTGCTGCTTCTGTGTCACACAAGCAACAAAAACGAAAGAAATGAGTACTGAACTCCAACCAAGGGCCAAGGAATTTCAAAATAAAAGATACTGCTTTTTGTGTGTCCTTGACAGTTTATCACGCAACATTGGAGAGAGTGAGTTAAATGATGGACAAGTTCTAGAAACCACTAAAATTAGCGAAAGTGAAAGAAACTATTCATCCCCTCACCAAGTTTAGCATTAACTACACAGATAGTGATGTGTGTCTTTTCTGCATGAAAGACTTTTTTTGTTTCCTTTGCATTGTTATTTTGTATACGTAGCATTTGTTGTTATGGTTGTTAATGTACAAGATGAAAAGCAGATGATATGGAGACTGGCCCTTAAAAACAAAATGATTGAAACCAAGAGGGGCCTGTGCAAAAGAGTGATGTGCAACCTGTGTCTCAAACAGGATTCTCCAAGCGTTTCCCCCCCATCTCTAAACACGTAAGAGCTTTAGATAGTCCAAGAAATTACCGAAAAGGAAAGCATCTCCTTTCCAATTCACTGTGTAACTTTTCCTAGAATATTTCACTGTACATTTTTTTTAAGAAACATATTCAGAGGAAACAGGAGTGCACTTAAACTCTGAGTTACCAGTATCTATGAGTGAATCTCTAGAAAGACATGTACAGCCCATTATAACATAGCCCCAAGATTACTTATGAGTTTTATCTCCTAACTCTAAACCCATCATACCATCATTAGTTTTTTCTCTTGATTTAATAGATTCTTTTTTACCTCTGTGCCTTTGTACTTTTACTTAAAAATATCACTTCCTCCAGAAAGTCTTCTCTGATTCCACAAGGATCTAAAAGTACCTGCCTCTATTCTATCAAAGGACTGTATTCATTCTTCTTCCATACTATTTGTCATACCAGTGTGTGATTATTTCTCCACTAGACAACAATCCCTAAAACAAGAACCACATTTCATTCACATTCTTATCCTCAGAATCTAGCACTATGACTTAGATATGTTTAATAAATGCTAATGATATGAATGGACAGGTGGGTGAAAGTATATAAAAGTGTAGCTCTGGTGTAGAAAATTCTCTATCCAAACCTTTAATTCATAGGTAAAATGGTAAGTTAACATTCTCAAAATAATCACCCTTTCTGAAAGAAAAAGCATATAACTGGTTATGTTGTCCAGAATGGTCCCCTTTTTTCTCTTTTCTTTTTTTAAAGATTAATTAAATTTTTTTTTAATTTGACCAAAGAGAGATAGAGAGGAAGTTTTTTGGAAAGAGAAAGCAAGCCACCAGGTCCAGGAATCAAACTGAGGTCAGCCATATGGGATTCCAGCCTTAACCACCATGCCACCTGCAGTCCCCTTTTCTGTTTTCCTTATTATCAACAAGTAAAAAACTAGTCTCAGACTGAGAAAGAAATGCCCAATTGCTTTCTACAAGTCAACAGGATTTGAACTGACTAGAATTATAATTTGATAAAAAAAAAGAGAGAGAGAGAAAAAGAAAAGAAAAAGTAACTTCTGACCATATAGCAAAAACAAAGTCAATTCTCTTTAAGTGAAAAATGACATTTTATGGATTCCTGAGCTCCAGACTTTGAAGTTGAAATGGTTCTTAAAGAGCATCTATCTTACCTCTGCCTTTCAACAAATTGAGAAAGAGAGAATATTATAGATTATCACTTAACTCACATCCTAACACACATTGGCTTCTCTAATTCTGACAATGTTTAAAAACAACTGACTAGGAACGCTCTCCATGTTGTAGTCTCTGAGCAAGTCATCCTGGAGGCCACAGCTCCAAGTCTCAGTTGACAGGCTTAAAATGTTCAGTTGCTGTTCATCTGTGCAGGGGAGAAGTTCTTGTCATCTGGACTAACTTTCAACTGAGCTTGGCCTGCAGCTGAGCTCTGTAACTTTCCATGCTGTAGAAGGCAACACATCATTACGTCTGGAATCCAGCTGGATACTGCTCTAAGCTCTAAGAGCTAACAGACAAGTTAATCACAAGAGGGAAAAATACAATATTCTCATATCCAACTTCTTTTGTTCTCTAAGAAACTGTCTAGAAGAAGATACATTTATTTTCCAAACACCAAAGTGAAAAATAATCATCAAAGTCAGAGAAAGATGTGAGATTAGTTCTTTGTGTATATAAATGATCATTTCACTAAAGTGCAATCAGAGCTTTTGTATTCTAAATTAGAAACTCAGAAGAGTGTTCCGATATTTGTTTAAGATTTGAAACCTGAACTACATTAAAAGTACAATGCGAGTTTATTCTATTACGGCAAGAGCCAGATTTCCTAATCAAAGAAAATTGTGAGACATTGCTAAAAAATGCCACTATTTAGAAAAACCACAGAGGTATCTTAATGGCAATAATTTGGTGTGGTAATTATATGAAGGTAAGGTTGTATTTTGCAAATCACAAACATTAGTAAGAGCAATAATTGCGATACATCCATCTAGTTGCATTATTTTAATTAAATAAGCAAGCTGTGATACTCCTCCTTAGGAAAGCACTTACATAATCTAAGTATCTACAATCATTTACACGAGATTGATATTCTGTGAATTCAGTATTGCTACAGATCCTCCCCCTCACTGTGGTGTTTCAAACAATAATGTATGAAATATATATTAGACATTTCCTTTCCCTTTGCAAACAGGAAATCATTGTACATGCTCTATTTCTAGTAGTGTCATTTGTTTGAAAAACACAAAAGGAGGTCTCATTATGACAGCACAAAAGATTACTATTATTATTATTTAGGTTATAAAAAAAAAGAAAGGACAAAAGCCTTAAGCAAACTCACCAAACTGTGGCCATTTATGATTAAGGCATAATCTCCTGTTACAGTTTCTTCTACAACAGAGTCCAGCTCCAGCTGCTGTTTCTTTTCACAAACTACGTGGCCATTGGACAAACTTCTATTTTGTCCAAACAAATTTTCCTTTGCTTTCCTTAAAGGAGAGAGAGAAAGAATGTTAAAACAAAGTCTACAGAGCATACCTATTGACTCTTAACAAGAGACTGGCCTAGAGGTAAATTCATTTCATCACCACTCAGACAGAATATGGCATAAGATCCAGTTTCAGTAAGCAAGCTGGGTAATTACTTGTGATAGGGATACCATAGCAAATTTCCAAATCCCAGGAAGTAGGAGGGTAAGCATAATGAAAACAGAATCATCTCAAACATTTTAAATTACCTAGGAGTTAAATCACCATCTTGAGCTGGTTTTGAACTAGGAGTTCTTTCTAGATTTGGTACGTAAGGTTGTCTAGACTTCAAGGACTTAAAAACCACTATCTGGCATACAATATGATTAAATAATGGAAAGCAAAAGACAAAGGCAATTTGACTCTTCTAGGAATTCCAGGACATCTATATATAAAATAAATCCATCCATTTGAGGTATAATACAATATGATCTAGCTTAAAACAGCAGTCTTCCAAGAAACAGATTTTTAAAAAATAAGATGCTAAAAGCAAATAATGGTATTTACTGAATTGGCATAGTCATTATAATGAAATATTTTAAGTGAAAATTGTACTTATCAACTCAAACAATAGATTAAGTCTTCTGAGAAAGAAACTACAGACACCAAAGTGTAGAGGGTGGTTCCAAATAGAAACTCCCTCCCAATGCTCTAGATCTAATTAGCAGTATATCTATTAGCTAGGTAGCTATAGAACAATTGTACCCACATCCATTCATCTCTGCTACTTAAGAGAAGGATTATACAGTGACATAACACCCTTAGAAGTGGCTTTCTACTGTTTTCTTCAAAATGAAAAAAATAATACCTTTAAAGGAAGACAGATTTCCTCTCTTAGGACCTTTGGATAACAAGCTTTGAAGTAACCTAACATTACTTCTTGTACTATTCTTTTTTTCGTGAGGTTTTTGCTATAGGGCGCAAGCGCTCGCCAGAAAGAGAAACAGAGAGACAGAGGCACAGAAAGTGAGAAATCACCCCCCCAGGGGATGGCCATGCCGCAATCCCTTCTCCTCCATTCTCCTCTCAGAATCTTGGGCATGCACACACATGCACCTGGCATGAGTTTAAGCCACCAGGTCTTGGACTCAAACCACGGTTGACTACATAGGAGTCCAGCGACATAGCCATTATGTCAACTGCTGGTCTCAAACATTACTTTTATTATTATAAGCTGACATTATTTCAGAAGTTTCAACCACAGTTAGAGAACTACAACTAAATGCCCCCAAAGATAAATGCCAAGACACTTAAAGTAACAATAGGCACATACAAAAGGAGAACCCAGGAGAAAATGGGGAGGAAAAAATAGACCAGAAAGTGATGTGTTTGTTTAGGGCAAAATGAAATGGTTCTCCAAAGACTCATCCTGTGTAGAAAACGTGTATTCAAATGGGGCCAAGTGGTAGAGCAGTAATGCAACTGGATCTACATGGAAAGGTCCTGGTTTTGTGTCCCAGGACCTCCCTGAGTATGCTAGGTAGCCATGTGCCCATGATCCAAGCTAGCTCAGGCTGCAAGTGAACCACAGTGTGAAGACTGTGTTGGGGGTACTTCTCTCTCTCTCTCTCTCTCTCTCTCTCTCTCTCTCTCTCTCTCTTTCTCTCTCTCTACCTCTATCTACCTCTGTGTGTGTGTGTGTGTGTGTGTGTGTGTGTGTGCATACCTGTCTGTCTGTCTGTCTCTCTGTCTCACCCAGATGAAAGAAATAAACATAAAAAAATCTATTAAATGGTTTTATGCTGAGGCTCTTCTGAAAGCAGAGAATGTCCACTATACCAAAACAACCATTTAGCCCTTCGGCTTTCTAATTATTTGGAAATTTAACATTAACCGTTTACATGTAAGTTTTAAAAAAGCAAAAACGAAACACCAAATCTGCTGGTTCAATGTCTCCTTCTGCTGTCCAGGACCAAAATCACAGCTTACTTGCAAGAACCTGGAGGTCACACACTCCTGGCTCCAAGAATGAAATCATACATTGAGCAATCAGTTTGCAGAAGCAAAGAAAAACTTTATAAAGTCAGAGTGCTATGTGTGAAATTTAGGAGGTTACAGTGAGGACAGGAGATAGAGCAGACATGAAAAACCAGTGTTTGAAGTGGGAGGATCTGACTTTTGCATCAGATAACCATGTCAGGGAATCCTCCTTACAGTCTTGAAAATTTACAGTCCTGCATAAAGAAGAAAACAAAGGAGACAAGTTCCTCAGAAATGAACATTTCTCTGACAGTGCTGCAAAGCTCATAAATTGGGTCTTAAGAAAGCACCAAGGAAAAATATCTCCTGAGGTTTCCTTTTTAGTAAAGTTCTCACTCGCAGTATAAATGACTCAATCTCTGTCTTCCCCCCAGAGAATAAAAACATTCCAAAGAAGGGTGAAGTTCATGAAAGTATTGGCTGCAATTCTATTTACTTAGGAGTTTTCTTCCCCCTAAACTGTCTTCCTAACATCTCACATGAACCCTTTTCCAGGCAGAAAAGTGGCAGTTTCTCCAGCTCTGCTTAAATTCCCACCACACTCTATTCGCAGGCAGTCTAGCCAGATTGCCCTCTCGTTTGTCGGATCTTTGTCCATGATCTATGGCTGTCATTTATTTTCTCCCTGGAATTTTAGCTCTTCAAACACCAGCTGGTTCTCACAAAAACAATTTATTAGAAAGGGGAAAAGAAGCCACACATAACTTCCTTCAGTGAATATGAACTATACATTTTTACAGGCACAACACACAATGCTTAACCACAGAACACAAACAACAAATGCTGAAACAAAAGAGGGCCTGTTTTTTTCTGAGCTTTGTAATGAAGGGCAGTTTATTACACTGCTGGCATGCAGAAATGCATTAATAGTTGAGGCAACTGTGGCATTCACAGCCCTATGTCGCCACAAGTGCAGCAAAGCACAGTGAGGCCCAGGCTGGCCTGCATGCCATCAATAAAGAAGAAAAGAGATGGGAGTAGGGGATATTTTGTCAGTCTTCCTAAGGCAATCTATCAAACATTAAAAGGATCTGTTAGAAAGTGGGTTAAAACCACACCACCATGTTTAAAAGAAGACAATTTAGACTTTGATACAAAGGCTAGCCTTTCAGTCTTAGAACCTGGAAACATGGATGCAAGTCCACGGTCTGCCTCTAACACTTTATACATCCACAGGTAAGTTATCTGGCCTCCAGCCACTTGATTAGCCAATGACAGACGCAGGGATAGAACCCAGGTCTTCTAGTTCTTAGTTCTCAATCCACTATACCAAACTGGTTTATACATAGTGTCAGCCACAGGCTGCCTGTAGGTTGGACTGAGACATAGTTCCATAGGACAGTTAAGGGACAGCACTACCTTGACATCAGAAGAGATATAAGGGAAAGCACATGAAATTTTTATTCCAAGCCTCGGTTCTATTTCTTAGTACCTGAGAAACCTGTAAGACAGCCAATCCCTGAATTAGTTTTACTGTTAGAAATTAGGGAAATGGGACCAACCAATAATACTGGTTGTGGCACCAGTCAGTCAAAATAGACACCAGCTATGAAAGCCTGAGCAGCGGCACCAATGTGTATTAGAAAGTTGTTAAGATCATTTAAGTGCTCTAAAAATTTATAATTTATGAGACAAATAACCTGCTAAAACATTTTGCCTGGGTTATTAGAAGTTGTGAATTAGGACCAAGATGTATTTTGTTTTGCTTGCACGGTGTTTTATAAAGAATCTATATAGACTTCATGGCCAACATGATGTACACCCTCACCAAAGGCCCCACCACTCTCTGATATCTTATAGATAGCCCAGATCAAATAACTAATGTTCCCTGAAATTTTGCTCATTAAAACAAACAATATTGGGGGAACCAGCAGTTAGCGTAATGGCTATGTCGCTGGACTCCCGCGTAGTCGACCACGGTTCGTGTCCCGGACCCGGTGGCTTAAAAAAAACTCACGCCGGGCGTGTGTGCGTGCGTGCCCAAGATCCCGAGAGGAAAATGGAGGAGAAGGGATTGCGGCGTGACCATCCCCCCTGGGGGGTGATTTCTCACTTTCTGTCTCTATGTCTCTCTCTGTCTGTCTGGCAAGCGCACGTGCCCTACAGTGAAAAACAAAAGAAACAAACAGAAAAACCCAATATTCCTCCATGTAGGTGTTCAAAAAAAAATTGATCCATATCTTACTACTTAAAGGGGAAATATTAATTCCTAGTATAACACCTAGGTATTTACTTCTCAGAGGCAGAAAAGTCACTCATGGTTTAATTAGAGGATATAAGTTTTTCTAACAATAAAACATGCAATCAATGGTACAAAAGTGAAATAAGGAATGAGTTTTTCCTGTCAGATCAAGCAAAATTACATTTTCAGTCTGTTTTCCTTGGGCAGAAGACATAAGTATTGGTGAAATATAATCACTGCAGTAATCTTCTGAGAAACCATAGCAGGGTTTAATAGATTTCTGGGCATTCCCTTAATACTAAAGCAGATATATGAGCAAAATCAATCCAGAACTAAAAGTGTCTAAAATGGTTTTATGACCTTAAATTTGAAATAAGCTGTATGTATGATATGCATGAAAATTACATAGCCATGTTTACAGAATAACCTAAACACATTTGACAGGTTTAAATATAAGCATTTAGGTCATTTCCTTCCAATGGCTAATATCACTCAGATCTTTTTTTTTTTTTTTTTTTTGAAACACTTTTCTTTTGGGGGGCATGAACTCCCACTGAACTCAAAGCTTGACAGAAGAAAACAGAACTGTGCAAATTTATGATTTCAGTATTTCATTTCCAAAATTATGTGCTTAGATATAAGTCACCAAGATTAGGGCTATAGAACATCTTTAAACAATAGCTTTTCTTGGATACTCTTTCTTCCTCCCTAATTCTAATATTAAGTAAATGCATAATATAAATGTATTTATTCTCAAACTTTCCTATACATTTCCTCTGTCTTAGACTCTAAGACAGAG